TGTGTGTGGTTTAGCAAGATAACTCGAGAAGCAGTGGATGGATTGGAATGAAACTTGGTTGGTGGGTATGACTTCATGAGACCTAGAAATGATTAGATTTTGGGCCCCCTGGCGGCTTTCCTAGGTACTGCAGCTGAACTTCCGGTTTTGATATCTCATGTTTTGTACATGCTAGGGTCACGAATTTTGGTTGGTAGATAGCTCTTGGGGTAGGGAAGAAGTGACATGAGTTTGGGTCCCCTAGCGCCTTATTCTAGAACTGCAGGAGCATTTGTTGAAAAAAAATTGAAGGACGATAACTCAAGAACCGGTTGACGTATTGTCGTGATTTTTGGTATGTAGGTAGTTGAAGTAATGCTTGACATAATCAAATGGCAATTATGCAAATCAAGAGCTACTTTGCATAATTAATGAGGAAATTCTATAAATCTGATTTGTTCGATAATAGAACTATGAAACAGTTGTGACATCTACTTGAGAACGAGAAAAACATCTGAGGATATAGATTATGTAAATGAGGACCTAATTTGAATAATTAATGGAAAATTCTTATAATTCCATAGTTGTAACTGCTGCACCCCGAATTTCATACTTGCCACATTTGGAAGTTAAGTGAAGGTGAACATCAATAAACATAATTTATTCAAATCATGACCTCATTTGCATAATTTATGAGGAAGTGCTATAATAGCCTTTTTGTTATGATAAGGCTGTCATTGGATGGAGAATATGATCAACTGATATAATCCATGCAAATGAGGCTCTTATTTACAAAATCAATGATTAAAATTGTAGACTTCGTCACCCGCAAGGGTTAACATTTTTTGGCGAAGGTATGAGGTCGTGGAACTCTTGTATTAGGATTGCAGATGGGTATTTCGATTCCTATAGGGAGCAAGTACGAAAGTCAATATTGTAAGGGCAGCACTCAAAGCTGATTACTTTGCTGACTGCAATTATATAAGTGTATTTTTTAATATTATTACGTTATTGAGTCAATCCAACACAGTAAAATTGACAGGACTTAAGTACTTGTAACAGATTTTGAAATGCCCATGAATATGATGCTATTTGACTCTATTTATTGTAGATGCAGAAATCAATTATATTGAATAATTAATGAAGATCATTCATCCTGTGTTCTAGTATTTTAAGATGAGATGAAAAACAGGCTTGGACATAAAAAAATGAGTTCTGTACGTTATTTTTACCTAATCATTTGCAGAAGTGTTTTGTTAGTAATGATAGATATTACATTTTATGCCTCGGCTAATAACATTATAAGTTTTTTGTTCTCAGATTTTGGGCAGGAAATTAATGAATTAGGACAGTGGCAGGCAGGTAAAATAAATCTTAAGATCATCCTTTGACATACCAAAATGCTAGCAACATTTCAAA